CAACCCATGCTGACTAGCAGCCGAGCTCGCACCGTGAGCAGAGTATCTCTAGTAGCAATTAAAATATTAAATCCACCGAAACAAGGATAGAAGTCGAATAAATATATCTCTGGCTTATTTGGTATGTGATGTATCATCAGAACAGGCAGCTATGTCGGGTATCTCTACCAATGCAACGCGATTTCAATATCACCTACCAGGAGTAGTGAATCCATTATCCCTTGCTAGGTGCTACACAGCTGACTCATTCGTAAATCCATGGCAGCGATTACGCAAGGGTATAGTGGCGGCACTATTTAGCTTAGTACACGCGGGTGTAGCTGTGGGTCCCCTCAGATTCTTTCAATCACTAGTTGTATAGCACGTCAAATCTACCCGTATCCTAGCTGTGGTTCCAAATCCACATGATTTCAGGAACCCATGGATCATGACCTTTAGGCCACAATGGCCGGCCATACTATTTCGGGCGACCGGCGCCACTACTTAGACAGGCGCCTGCCCTTTCACCTGGCGATTCCTCCTTCCTTCATTCTTCTAGCATATTTCATACGTTCAATATACGTCGTGGAAAGGTGCTTGAAATATGTTAGAAGAATGAAGGAAGGAGGAATCGCCAGGTAAAAAGGGCAGGTGGCTGTCCAAGGAGTGGAGCTAATAGTCTGGAATAGTCTGGAATAGCATGGATGGCCATTGTGGCCTAGGGGTTTTATCCATGGGTTCCTAAATTCTGTGAGTTTAGGAACACAGCGCCTATCGAGGGGGCTAATTACCATCGCTGGCTTGAAAGGCTTAAGTTCGAATCTTGGCAGATATGCGAGTTTTGAATTGAGCGAAAACTCATGCAGATAGATGTCATGTAGCGCAGTCGTCTGACTGGCTGGAAGGCCGATATTGGATACTTCAAGCAACATATGCTCGGAACATACGTGCAATATATTGCCTTAAATCATCACTGTGCTTATGAGCTTTATCAAACGAGTTGTGTTTTTTACTTGGAAAAATATATTAAATGTGAAAACTGCAGCAGCGAAAGGAGCGCAGCAGCATGTGTGCATATGAGCTGTGGTTGATTTATGTGTACACAGATCACTATTACTTAGATTGGTTGAAACATTGTTCACAGGTTCGATGCTTTTACAGCCCCTGAAAGATTCGTCGAGGTCATCACGCTACAGTAAATGCTCTATGCCAGTTTTGCTTTTCGTGTCAGCCGTGAGAGCCACTGGCCAGTCGACTAGACGGGCTGGTGCCGGGTGTTGGTTTTATGAGTATACTCCTGCTTGGAGTATAGCCGAGTAGCGAAACAAGAGACCATCAGTACGTTGGCTCGACTAAGTAATGTTGCGAAATTTGTCTACATTTACATCTTGCAAGCATCTTGCCCGCATGCTAAATCGCATTGCTCTTACATTTTTCATTCTCGTTCCAGTATTCCTCGCCTAAATAGCATACGGGTTTAACCTAATGGCAATATGGCTGGTGTAAACAGGGAAAAGAGAGAAATATTGAGTGCTAAATTTCAGAAATGAGTCAGCTAGAAGGAAATGGCAGCTACTGCAACGATGGCGACTGTTGTCAGCGCAGTGAATGACGAAAAGTTGTTGACTGCATCCGAACTCTTGCTGTTGCTCTTGCTGCCACTGCTGCTGTTTCCGCTTGATGATGAGCCAGACGACGAGTCATTAGTCGAGTTGGCACACTTTGAGTCGCTCGACGACGACGGGGTGACAACCTTTGCAAAGCCATCAAAATCGCATGAGGTCGACTTCTTGTTATCTGACTGGTAGTACGCGTTGAGCGCCCATGACACGCGCTGGATGGTGTCGCAGCCAGCATAGTTACCGTACTTGCCAGTGGTGCCGTTGCCGTTGATGGCTGAGCAGTCAATTGAGGCACACACGTAGCTAAAGATATTGCCGACAGTGGAGCTCCAGGTGGTTAGTTTGTCCGAGTCGGTGGGTGCCGAAGTGTCCTTGGACACGCACGACAGCGTCTTCATCATGCACGCGCAGGTCGCATTGTTGGGGGTGGGTGGCAGGGTCGAGCTCGCCATCCAGCTGTTACTCATGCCGACCGACGGGCAGCTCTGCAACTTGGCGCTGCTTGAGTAGCTGCTCATGGTGACACCCTTGGGGCTGGTCGCCTTGAGAGCCTTTTTGAAGTTGTCATAGTCCTGGGTCTTTGTGCCCTTGGTGCCGCTGACGGTGACGAGGCCGTACTTGTTGTCCTCCTCGACATACTCGTAAACAAAGCCGCCCGAGAACACCTCAGTCATGTTGGAGCCGTAAATCGCAGCAATCTCCGGGAAGGTGCGTGGGCGGATGGTGTTGCAGCCGTACTCGGTCAGCATCACAGGCACGTCCCAGTTGGTGAAGTTTTTGACGACAATGTCGTAGCCCGAGATGGTGTAGCTGCTGTCCTCGCCGCACCACGAGTAGATGTTCAGACCGTAGAACTCGGCCTGCTCGTCCTTGCTGTTGCAGTCAAAGTAGGTCTGCTGCTGCCAGCGGATATCTGCATCGTCGTTGGTTGCGTATCCGACGGGGATCGAGAGCCCCTTCTTCTTAATATACGCCCTGACGTCGCGCAGTGCCGCCTTGACGTAGGCCGCCGAGTCGGTGTTGTTGGGGGCATTGGCCACCTCGTTGCCGGCCAGGAATCCCATCACATTGTCGTAGCCGCTGAATGCATCGACCTTCTGATAGTAGTAGCCGAGCAAGTCTGCGTCGTAGGCGGGCGAGTCACGGTTGATGGTCTTGGTGGGCGTGCTCAGGTCGAGCATCACGTAGATGCCGGCGTCGGCCAGCGCCTTCATGCAGTAGTCGTGGTTGTTGTACGGCTCGGTCTGGTAGACGCGGATGGCGTTGACACCCAGGTCCTTCAGGAACGGCAGGTCGCGGTCACACGCGTCTTTGCTTGCAAGCGGGTCGCGGGTCTGCGATGTCTCGATAATGTCGGGCTGGTAGTCGACGCCCTTGGCAAAGAACTGCTCGCCGGTTTTGCTGTCGAACCACTTGGCTCCCTTGATGACCAGCGGGTTGATTGCCAGTGCGCTGTAGGCGAGCAGGGTGCTGCCGAGGACCGCGACAGACGGCACAGAGAACCGCATCGTTGCTTTGTGGATTCGCGGAAGAGAGGAACGAGAAAGAGCACAAAAAAGCTGGGGTTTGATGGAAGGTCGGCACTTTCCTGATAGAAAAGGGTCGATGGTTAAAGGGGATTAGAAAGCGGGAGGGAAAGAGGCAGGCAGGGAGGGGATGTGCAGTCGTGAGTAAGAGTTGTTGTCGTTTTATGTCAAGAAGGAAGAGAAGAGAACAATCCAGGCGCGGCCCAGCTTTTGTACCGGCCCAAGGGTGCTGGTGTTTCTTTAGCTTGGGCTGTGTTTACAGTGTAAAAGCAGTTGGCGGTGGCCCTACCAGGCAGGTCGGAAATGCACGCCCCTCGCCCCCGATTCTCCTGCTGCAGACAAACTGCTGCCCGCGGAGTCCACAAATAGCAGCTGGCGCCAAGAGTTTTCCTGCTGCAGACTGGGAGAAGCGGTCTGCTGCGTGCAGCTGTCACTGGGAGAAGCGATCAGCGGCCTGGCAGAGCCAACAGCAGACTGCTCCCTATTCGCAGCGTGGTTTGGCCCGCACACACGCATGCAGTCTCTGGCAGCGGCCGCAGGGGTTGCCCCATATGTGCTTGCAACATAGCAACATCATCACCATCACCATCACCATCTATGTCACCACTCTCGATACATAGGGCTGCAGACGGCGCTTGTCGGTGCCGAATGCGTCGGCAACCACCAGCCTGTCCCAGCGGTTGGGGGAGATGGCGGCCAGTGTTCTGGAACACCGCCAGTTTGGGTTGGGCAAGGGCGCATTCTCCGCACGCTGGCGGCAGCCTGAGTGGCAGCAGGAGGCGGACGGCCACCACCTCCCGTCCAAGCGCCCCGCCAGCGCCCAGCGGCCGCGCGGGCGCTGCTGGCCCACATCAGACTCGGGCTATGCTATTGCTTGCTGCTGCTGCTGTTGTTGCATTCTGCACGACCGCTGGCAGGCCAATCACGGGGTGTGGGGACCGCTTCCCGCCCGCGCATTGTGCGAGTTCATAGTGGATGCGCCCAATCACGATTGTGCTGGGCGCCGATCATCTGGCTCCGCCTGCTGGCACAACAACAAAACCACTTTGTGTTGCCAAACTCTCAGTCACTCAGTCGGCAGCCCCAAAAAAGAGAGCTGCGCTTGAGCTAAAGCGACCGAGGAGACCTGCTGTTGCATGCGGTGCCGAGGGCTCTGTCAAGGCAGGTCGCCCCACTCAGGCCGGGTGTTGTTTGCGCACATGCTAGGCAAGGCCCTCCTCCAGCTTGCTGCTGATGTCGGCCCAACCAAAAATAGAATAGGAATCTCCGTGCCAGACCAATCACCAGCGCGGTCTCAACATTCCCAGCTGCAGGCTGCATGTCCCAGCCAGGGCGGCGGTCTTTGGATTATTTTTATCGCAGCCTTTGCAGGCTCAGCCCTTCTTCTCTTCCCTCTCCATCCTCTTCATCCTCTGCCACCTCTACCCCTCTCATTTCCCCTCTACACGCCTCTTCGTGCCTCTTCATCTCATCGTTGTCTGCTCTCGGACCCTAGGGAGGCCGTTTCAACAGAACCAGTTAGCTTGTCGAAACGCCCCAAACACTGGTGTTGCCCCTGCCCCGCTTGCAGGCACACACTCCTACTCTCTTTCGCCCATCGATAGCCCAGAGCACATACATACTGCAGCGCCAGCCGCTGCTATCTCTACGCACGATCATCTCTTCCCCACCCAGAACCAAACAGACAAAAGCTTCCGCATAACGTCGTCGGCAGGGTTACGACAACATTTTTATCGGCTTACGAGTAAGTATCTGACCGGCCCATTCTGAACCGGAAACAGAAGCAGTAGAGCGCAGAGCCAAGCACAACAACGATATCAACAAAACGCAGCAATTCTGCCCAGCGCTTTCTCGCTCGCCATTGTTTTGGCAAAGCTTCAGCATCAGCCAGAGACTGCGCGAGCCCCCCGTTCAGCTAGTAATTCCGTGCCGTTAATTGTTGCTTCTATTTCGGTCGTCGACCAAAACATTTGGCGATGAGCGGGAAGCGACGGGCGGGAGGGCTGTGTGCAGGAGAGCGGGCGGGAGCAGCGCGGGTGGCGAAATCTGCGCTGCCAGCGCAACGTTACCACTTGTCCGCCTATTTCTGGCTGGGTCGCTGTTTTGTGCTACGTGCTTTCTTGTGGAGCGCACAGCTCTGTTTGGGTCACCATCTGTGCCCCGAGTGTGTCCGCCGCTTTTTCATATAAAGGCAGCAGCAGCTACTGCTCCGTCCTTCTCCCGCCCTCGTAGAGAGAAGCTCTTGCGTTTTTTGTATTCCTCCTCCGTCTGTACAAGCTCGACTTTTGTATCTTACACTTTGTCTACAACCTTTTCCCTTTGCTCAGGCAGCAAACCCCTCTGTCAGCTGCGTTCACTCTCCGTTGCTGGAAAGAAGGTAAAAAGGCGGGTACATTGTATGCAGAATTAAGCACGCTCTAGTCGTGCAGATCCGCCCGCCCATTCTTGTTTTCCCGCACCAGCACTTTGCTCTGCTAAATGAAATAATCACCAGCAGAGCAGCTCCCTTTGTCCTGCGTTGCCGGCACGCAGCAGCTCACAGGGCAGGTGCGCTTGCATTTACCTCATGGGGTGGCAGCCGGATCCGACCTGATAAACAGAGCATGTCCAATCTTGTCAAAGCAGCAGCAGCAGCAGCAGCAGCAGCAGCAGCAGGCCTCCATCTCTTCCTTGCTGAGCCTCTTGAATCTCTCGAATCTCTTGAACCTCTTGAACCACTCGAGTCCCTTGAACCTTGCGCTAACTACACTATCCATACTCCTAATTCTAGATTATCTCCTTTTTAAATGGCCAACAACTACAACGGCGGCAGCGGTAGCGGCCGCCAACAGCAGGGAGGACCATATGACAACGTGCCGCCCACGCAGTATCTGGGCCGCCACGACCAGCAGGAGCAAGACCCGTACGGCGATGCCGGATACGACGACTACGGTCGTCCCGAGTCGTTTGACGTGTCGTACTACGCGTCACAGGAGCCGGCAGATTACTCGGATCAGATCTACATGAGCAACACTGGCGGCAGCGGCCAGGACGGCGGTCCCAGCCTGCTGAGCCCGGACGGGCCGATGGCCCAGGGCCCCATGATGGGCGAGCTGCCCCCGCGCCGCCGCCGCAACGGCAAGAACCGCGACTCGGATGTCGAGAGCGTCAGCGACTTCTCGGTTCGCTCGTCGATTGTGCGCACGCCCGCCTCGCACGGCTCGAACGACGTCGACATCTTTGGCGCGTACCGCAGCAACGGCTCTGGGCCGGGCGCCGCCGATGACCGCTACGCCTCGTACGCGCCATCGACAGAGTCGCTGATCCACATGATTGAGAACAAAAAGTCGTACCGGCCCACGGGGTCTGTCACATCGTTCTCCCGCAGCGCGTCCTGGGTCTCCAACGGGCAGGGCGGCTTTATGGACTTCCAGAACAACGACGCGTTCCTCAACGCCGACGTGCCGTACCCGGCCTGGAGCGACCCCAACCAGATCCCGCTGTCCAAGGAGGAGGTCGAGGACATCTTCCGCGACCTGACCGCCAAGCTCGGCTTCCAGCAGGACAACATGCGCAACATGTACGATGCGATGATGACCATGCTCGACTCGCGTGCGTCGCGCATGAGCCCGACCATGGCGCTGCTGATGCTGCACTCGGACTACATTGGCGGCGACCACGCCAACTACCGCCGCTGGTACTTTTCGGCCCAGCTGGACCACGACACGCCGCCGGTGCGTGAGCAGATTGACCCGAAGCAGCAGCAGGAGCTGCTGGAGGAGGAGGGCGACGATCCCAAAAAGGACACGCCCGCCGCCTTCATGGAGAAGTGGCGTGCCCAGATGAACGCCATGTCACAGTACGAGCGCGCCCGCCAGATTGCGCTGTGGATGCTGCTGTGGGGTGAGGCTGGAAACCTGCGCTACACTCCCGAGCTGCTGTGCTTCCTGTTCAAGGTTGCCGAGGACTATGTCAAGTCGCCCGAGGCCCAGCAGCGCGTCGAGCCGGTGCCCGAGGGCCAGTACCTGTGCAACGTCGTGTGCCCGCTGTACAACTTTTTGCGCGACGAGGGCTACGAGGTCGTCAACGGCAAGTACCTGAAGCGCGAGCGCGACCACGCCAAGACTATTGGCTACGACGATGTCAACGAGCTGTTCTGGACCCCCGAGAGCCTGCGGTGGATCAAGTTTGAGGACAAGTCGCTGCTGATGGACGTGGCTCCGCACGAGCGCTGGAACCGTCTGGCCGACGTCAGCTGGAAAAAGTCGTTCCGCAAAACGTTCAAGGAGCGCCGCACCATGTGGCACTTTATGACCAACTTTTCGCGCGTGTGGATCATGCACATCACTGTGTACTGGTACTACATCATCTACGTCGCCAACTTTTTGTACGACCCGTACTTTGAGTGGCACGACCCGACCTTCAGCAAGGCCAGCACCCAAGGCGCCAAAGTACCGCTCCCGAACCAGGACGCCAAGCGCTACACGCTGATGGCCTGCGGCGGTGCGCTCGCGCCGTTCCTTGCGATCATGGGCACCGTCGCCGAGATGTTCTTTGTGCCGCTGAACAAGTCCACCCAGCGCCAGCTGTGGCTGCGCATGCTCATCCTGGTCATCATCCTTGCTGCTGACATTGCGCCGACGTTCTGGATCTGGGGCAAGGGTGACGATCCGAACTTTAATCTGGAAGGACTCGACCTCCAGGCGCCAATGCAGGAAAGTGAGCCTGGCAAGCTGGACGATGTGGATGCTTCCGTCCTGTCGACTTGGCGTGTTGCTCGTGCAGTGGCCATCGTGCAGTTCTGCTACTCGGTTGCCTTCACGATCTTCCTGTCGCTGATGCCGCCTGCGCTGATGTTCAAGCAGCGCAAGAAGAACCGCAACGGCCGCGGCCTGATCAACCGCACCTTTGCCGGCAACTTCCCGCCGCTCAAGGTCGCGCCGCGCGCCATCTCGCTGTGCCTGTGGGGAGCCATCTTCCTCTGCAAGTACATCGAGTCGTACTTCTTCCTGGCCCTGTCGTTCAAGGATCCGTTCCGCTGGCTCTACCGCTACTTCCCAGCCGATGACAGCTGCGTTGAGCGCTTCTTTGGCTCGCAGCTGTGTGTCAAACAGCACTACATCACGCTCGGGTTCATGCTGCTCCTCGATCTGGTGCTGTTCTTCCTCGATACCTATCTGTGGTATGTCGTGTGGAACACCGTGTTCTCGGTTGGCCGCTCGTTCTACCTCGGTGTGTCGATCTGGACGCCCTGGCGCAACGTCTTTGGCCGTCTGCCCAAGCGCATCTACGCCAAGATCCTGGCCACGGCCGACATGGAGGTCAAGTACAAGCCCAAGGTGCTGTGCTCGCAGATCTGGAACGCAGTGGTGATCTCGATGTACCGCGAGCACCTGCTGTCGGTCGACCACGTGCAGAAGCTGCTGTACCAGCAGGTCACCAGCGAGGACGACGGCAAGCGCACGCTGAAGCCGCCCACGTTCTTTGTTTCGCAGGACGATGCTGCCTTTGAGCAGGAGTTCTACCCGTCGCACTCGGAGGCCGAGCGTCGCATCACGTTCTTTGCGCAGTCGCTGTCGTCGGTTCTGCCCGAGCCGGTGCCTGTCGAGAACATGCCCACGTTCACTGTTCTGACCCCGCACTACTCGGAGAAGATCCTGATGTCGCTGCGCGAGATTATCCGCGAGAGCGACCAGTACACCCGCGTCACGGTTCTCGAGTATCTGAAGGCGCTGCACTCGGACGAGTGGGACAACTTTGTCAAGGACACCAAGATCCTTGCCGAGGAGAACTCGTCCAACTTTGGCCAGGCCTCGGCATACGGCCAGGCGTTTGCCCAGGATGCCGACAAGGCGGAGGTGAAGACCAAGACCGACGACCTTCCGTTCTACACCATCGGCTTCAAGAGCGCTGCGCCCGAGTTCACCCTGCGCACGCGTATCTGGGCGTCGCTGCGTTCCCAGACGCTGTACCGCACCATCTCCGGCTTCATGAACTACGCCAAGGCAATCAAGCTGCTGTACCGTGTCGAGAACCCCGAGATGGTCCACCTGTTTGGCGGCAACGGCTCTGAGCGCCTGGAGCAGGAGCTCGAGCGCATGGCTCGCCGCAAGTTCAAGTTTGTTGTGGCCATGCAGCGGTACCTGAAGTTCAACAAGGACGAGCGCGAGGCATCCGACTTTTTGCTGCGCACCTACCCCGACCTGCAGATTGCGTATCTCGAGGAGGTCCCCGCTGTCGAGGAGGGCGAGCTGCCGCGCATCTACTCGTGTCTGATTGACGGGCACTCTGAGGTCGGTGCTGACGGCCGCCGCAAGCCGTACTACCGCATCCAGCTGCCGGGCAACCCGATTCTCGGTGACGGAAAGTCTGACAACCAGAACCATGCGATTGTGTTCACCCGTGGCGAGTACCTGCAGCTCATTGATGCCAACCAGGACAACTACCTGGAGGAGTGCGTCAAGATCCGCAACATGCTTGGTGAGTTTGAGGAGTACAACCCGCCCACCGTGTCGCCCTACTCGCCTGCTGCCGAGCCGCAGAAGCCCCCCGTTGCCATTGTCGGTGCGCGCGAGTACATTTTCTCGGAGAACGTCGGTATTCTTGGAGACGTCGCTGCCGGCAAGGAGGCGACGTTCGGTACGCTCACTCAGCGCATCATGGCTGAGATTGGCGCGCGTCTGCATTATGGACATCCGGATTTCGTCAACTTCATCTTCATGACCACCCGTGGAGGTATCTCGAAGGCGCAGAAGGGTCTGCACCTCAACGAGGATATCTACGCCGGTATGAACTCGTTCACGCGCGGTGGACGCATCAAGCACACCGAGTACTTCCAGTGCGGTAAGGGCCGTGATCTCGGGTTCTGCTCGACGCTCAACTTCATCACCAAGATCGGCACTGGTATGGGTGAGCAGATGCTGTCGCGCGAGTACTACTGGCTCGGCTGCCAGCTGCCGCTGGACCGCTTCCTGACATTCTTCTACGCGCACCCGGGCTTCCACATCAACAACATCATGATTATGTCGTCGGTGCAGCTGTTCATGATCTGCATCATGTTCATTGCGGCCATGAGTGTGACGGTGAAGATCTGCGACAAGGTCGACATGAACGTACCGGAATATGCAAGCCAAGTCAAAGACGGATGTTTCCTGCTGCAGCCCATTGGTGACTGGATCAACAGAACCACACTGGCTATTCTTCTTGTGCTGCTGATTGCGTTCCTGCCTCTGTTCCTGCAGATGCTGACGGAGCAGGGCTTTAGCCGGGCCATTTCGCGTCTGGGCAAGCAGTTCATGTCGCTGTCGCCGCTGTAC